AAAAAAAAAAAAAATCACAAGGCGGCGGGGGGAAAATCACAAGGAAACATGCGTAAGTGCTATTCACAGATACCGGTACAATCTCCATTCTGTTGTTTTGAACGCCCACTTCATACACCCACTAAGGAGAAATCATTAGGGAACATTATTTGGCAACTCAAGATGATGCTCCCAGGAGTAGGATTGATTTTATACATGCATCTTCAGTCAAGTATTTGCCACAAGTTTCATGGCAGAGTCTGCGTTCTTTGCAGTACTTTTAATGATTGATTTAGTGGGATTTCATTCAGGTTTTGGAAGACAGGTTACAAAAGCTACATGTAGATGAGTTCTAGTTTTTAAATCAACTTTTAACCCCATCCCATGCATTAAAGAGAAAGCCTGTACTCTGTACCTTCAGCACAGACTACTACTAATGAATAGAAGAATAACGGGATCGGGAGGACACAGACCTCCCTGCTTCTGTAGGGAAAGCCATTAAGTGCTTCTGGACAAACAGAATCCAAAGCAGTTCAGATTGCTGGGGGAGGATGTGAGATGGGAAGCGAAGGAGAACCTCTGCTTGTATGTGTTCTTCTGGGTGGGGACTACCCAACCAAACTCCTCTCTGATTCCTTCCTGTTCAAGGAGGTTAAGTGTATCATTGAGCCCCTGAGGATATAACTAAAAGAACAATTCTTAGGCTTTCTATTTGTGCTACCAAGACTCTTGTGGTTCCTCTGTTGCACTGGCAAGGGTGCATGTCCTCGTTAGAGTTGTCAAAATTATTACCTATTGCAACACCTTCCTTAAGGAAAGAAGAAAGAGACGGGAATTGTCCCTTTATAAACACTTTCTCTTCTGAAAATCCCAGTTAAGTTTTGTGGGATAAATAAAGAGCACTCCGTAGCTCTTTAGCTCATTACTTGCTAAAAATAATTAAGCTGGGAATATTTCCTCACAGAGCACTGGAGGACTTTTTGTAACACTTCTCTGGTTCTGCCAAACTTGCTTTATTAAAAGAAGTGTTAGCAGCTTTCTTTCAGATCCGAGTAACGTACACTCAATCTTCTCCATGCATATTTTAGGATTTATTCTATAAAATTTCAGAACTAACTCTTGGATCTTCTGCTTCAACAGTCATAAAGCAAAACCTACAGTTTTAATAACATACCTTGAAGGATTCCAAGAAATACAACTGCAGCTTAGTTTACATGAGATTTCATGCTGCAGTGACCACTGACTGAGATTCATCACATCTGGAGCTTCATAAATCCTTACAACTCCATCTGCTGAACAGGTTGCTAACATAAGACCCATATGCTTGGGAGCAAACTTCACATCTGTAACAGATGTCCTACTGTCTACTAGAGTGGTCCTCTTTACCTGCAAAGAAAGACAGAAATTCTTGAAGGAAATACTAGAAAACTCCATCAAAAATTTATTCCCTAAGGAAGGCTAATGAAAGTCTGACAACACCATTTCATAGGATCACTTACCTCTTCCATCAAGAACTAAAAAAAAAAAAATACACACCAATGAATTGGAGAAACAACAGATCATTGCAGTGATGCAATTTCAAGCATCAAGAGATACACGGACAGTGGTATCAAAGTTCTGATACCAAAAAGAGTTGTTTAGATTATGCTCTTCAGGAATAAAAAAAAAAAAAAAACCCCACACATAACATAAGCATAAAGTACAAGAGTATTGGCCACAGGCAGTTGAAACTGTCCTCTTCATTCATACTGGTGACAATATTAACTGTGATGCCTAGCAACGCCACTTTCTAATGTCAGTGCTGCTGAAGTTTACCATGCAGCATTTTCCAACAGAAGCATCAAAGCAAGTATTTCTGGTAAGGGAATGGGTGAATACAGCAGACATTTGATAGGAAGATTAGCTAGGGTGAAAGAGGAAAAAACTGTAAACATTTGTTTTTCAAGTTGTCTGCTCTCCTGCCAAGAAAGTGTGAGTTTGAGCTGAAAACTATGCATCACAACTGCCTCCTGCACACGGAAGTCAGCTTTCATACTCCACTGGGTGCCAAAGGTCCTGATAACCCAACTCTTCACAATTATGTATTTTAATGTTAGAAAACTTTAGTAGAAAGTAGAAAACTGCAGATATTTTAGCAACTGAAAACAAAACATTAGAGGCAGGAATACTATACTGAGTTATATATGATTACACATGAAGAATAGCTGCAAAATAATCTGTTTAGATCTAAAATTCCCTTGATGAAATGCTACCCTGAAAATCCACTTCCAAGCAAGCTATTTCCCCCCAAAACCTGACCTATTGTTTGAAAGATGAAAAAGAACAGCATGAGACAGTTTCAAATGAGCTCTTGTCACAGAAGAAAAACCCCACAACTTTAATTCTACTGTAGATGGGAATTCATGTCTGCAAGTTGTTTGCCAGGGAACATCTTACTAAGAAACACCAACAGTAGTGACACTAATTGAGCTGAATGTTGCCATTTAGCTGTCTTCCCTAAATGCTTTAAAAATACTTACTCTATATTGGAATATTGCCACAAATTAACAAAACAAAGGCAAAACCAGGAACACTTTATATTAACAGAAGAAAACAGGGTGCTTTCTCTGTTTCAGGAATAGAAAATATGTTGCAGAACCAGAAATGTCCAGTAACTTGGTATTTAGAACAATTTTCATGTTCAGTCTTCTGTTTAATTCTGGAAATTAAACAGTTTAAAGCTTCAGCCCATGATGATAAGCAAACAAATCAATGAGGCACAGTAAATCTGTTTTGTATGAGAACATATAGAAACTGTAATTAATATGTTAAAGTCTCACCCAGTGACTCTGGCCTCGGAGTTTATCATTTGACTCTCCCACTATTTCTTCCCATACAGCTGCTGTTCTGTCAAAAGAGCAGGAAGCCAGGACCTGCCCAAATTCAGGATGGGCCCACGTCACACGCCACACAGATCCACTATGTGTCTGCAAGATAACACCAAAACACCAGACAGAAACATACTTAATGTATTAGTCCAAGTGATCATACATTTTCATGACTTTCTGCAGAAGCAGAAGTAAATTCTAGTAAGTAGTTAAGACTATTCCTTTGAAACCTACGTTTTTTTATAAAGCTCAAAGTTACACAGCAGCTGTTGCATTTGTTTATTCCTATAAGCACTGCGAAGTTTTGTTGCTATTAGCTAATGGTTAAAAGGTAATTATTACAAGTGTCTTTCAAGGCATTATTTATTACTCCTTTAAACCGTAAGGTCCAAGCTAAGATTATGCCTTGACACAAGAAGTGCAGCTTTGTTTTCAATTTTCAGCCATTACCATGCTCACTTCTAGCTTGCCTGTACTTTTCCAAAGCATATGCAGAGCATTACTTATCTTCTCCTTTTTTACATGAAACTCCTCTTCCATACCTAGTCAACCTAATGCTTCTTTTTTTAGAGAAGGGGAATTCAAAAGCTTCACTTGCATTTCCGTTTACTGGAATTATTGTATTGTGGTCCTATTAAATGCAAGTTTAGGGACAACTCAGAAGCTGAAGGCACTAATTATCCTGATGAAGCAGAGTCTCTATATGACACAGTTCTCAGAAAGGTTTGGGGGGGGGGGGG